AGGCGGCATTGGCAAAGCAGAGCCTTCATGATCCCAGCATCAGCGATGCCTCAAATGAGACATAAGCTCTTTTTCAGAGGGCAAGAACAGCTACTCAGGAGGATCTGGATACCTCATGCAGCTGTGCTGGGCCAAGCTACAAGGGACAGGCATTGCCTGGAGGGGCTGGGACTCTCCTGGCACGTTGGCAGGGAGCTGTGCAGGAGCATGCACCGACAGGACACACTGCTTGAGCTCTAGACAGCTCAAACCAGCCTCTCCCAGTACAGCCCACCCAGTAACACATCATGTGAAGAGGACCCTCACCTCGAGCTGCCTGCACAGCTTCCCTTTCCAAACCAGCACAGCCCATTATCCCTTTGCAGCTGCCTCCTAGCACAGTATCAGCACATCTGGCTCACTGAAACCAGTTGAGATGGTGTTTTTTCTCCTGTATGACTCCAGTAGCCCCAGGAGCACTAGTCACACACCAAGATACACCGTGTGCTGCCAAGTGCTGTACATACACCTTCAGCACTATTGCACACTTGATCCTCCTTAAAAGCCAGCCACTGTGTTAATTCACTGACCTCGTGAGGACATTTCTTGCTCAGCTTTGTTCATAATAGAGGCTTCTTTAAATAGATAAGCAATCGATAAACTTTGTTACTGAAAGCATTCCTATGCCAGAGGATACAAACAAAAGACACTTTTACCACAGAAGCAATGGGGATGTTTATGAGGCCATAACCTAACCCCAAGCCAAATCCACTTAATGTCTCTGTGGCTCTTGTCCCTCCAGCACCCCAATCCCACTCTCCCCCCAGTGCCTCGGGACCTTAGTTCGGCTTGCAGCTCTGCAGTTGGCTCTGAAGGTCAGGCTGCCCTTCAGTAACTTGGAAATCTGTTCAATACCCCCACACACACCAGTCATGCCTCCCAGGGGAAGCCACAGTCCTTGCTCTTTTCTAGTCAGTTCTAACCAGATAGGATGCCATGGGCACTTCACTGAGGAGCAGAAAAATCTGATTTCCCAACAGCAACATGATGGAAGGGGGAAGTGCTTGTTATCAGTTCCCAGGCAATGAGGAAGGGGCAGCTCTGTCAAAAGCCTCTGTCTGCCTCCCTTGCTGTGTAAGTCTTCTCCCACTCTGGAGCACCTCCCAGACACAGGACAGCAGAGCCTGTGCTTCTGGTTTTTGGCTGGGTGAGGTTTGGGGTTGCTGGCAGATGCAGTGAGTGGCTGATGAACTCCAGCAGGAAAAACTCAAAGCCTTCTACTTTCAGCTCAGACTGGTAGCACTTGAACATTCATCCTTGCTTCACAGCAATGTTGGTGGCTTGTCCATTAACCAGATGAGTCTTTTACTTTTTAGGGTTCCGTTTCCCTCCTGTCTTTCATCACTCCTATCAAATGAGACTGCAGGTTCTCTGGGACAGACTGGCCTCTGTGTTCAGAAGAGCCCCAGCCACACCTTGTGGTCTCTTGGCACATGGCAGGAGGCATATCTCACTCCTTGAGCTCAGGTTACCTCCTTTCTGGGCATCGGTGGAATTACTTACATGACAATAAGACACAACGAGTCCCTCATGGACTGTCACTTAGTCAGACTCTCTCAAGAGTCTTTCTTCTCTTTCAGGTATGAGGATGCATTCCAGGTCCACAGCTCTTCCACAGAGTTTAACCAGAAGCCCTTGGAGAGGGAGAATGAGCGTCTCCAAGCCATGGTGAACTCCCTGAGGTCTCAAGTCAACCAGGAGAAGCAGCGGAAGGAGAGGGTTGAGCGAGAGTACACGTCTGTTATTCAGGAGTACTCGGACCTCGAGCAGCGGGTGTGCGAGATGGAGAACTGCAAACTGCGCATCAAGGAACTGGAAGCAGAGCTCCTAGAGCTGCAACAGATGAAACAAGTCAAGAAGTATTTGCTCAGCAGAGAAGACAACTTGTCCGAGGCCCTCCTTGAGCCGCTGAATAACGCCCCAGAAGCAGACTACATCGACCTCTCTGAGGAGGAGGGAGGAAAAAGTCATGGGCCATCAATGACACCTTCCCCAAACCACCCTGTTCGGAAAAGCTGTAGTGACACAGCCCTCAACGCCATCGTGACCAAGGATGCCGTGAGTCGGCACGAGGGCAATTACACGCTGCACGCTAACAACGTGCGCAAACGGGGCATGTCCATCCTGAGGGAAGTGGACGAGCAGTATCACGCCTTGCTGGAGAAGTACGAAGAGCTCCTAAGCAAATGCCGGCAGCACAAGGACAGTGTGCGCCACACAGGGGTCCAAACGTCCCGGCCCATTTCTCGTGACAGCTCCTTCAGAGACTTCCGGGGAGAGGGACATGAGTTGGAAGAGCGGAAAACCATGGAGAAGACCATCAGCAAACACGTGGAGGCGGTGGACAAGCGGCTGGAGCAGAGCCAGCCTGAGTACAAAGCTCTTTTTAAGGAGATCTTCTCCCGCATCCAGAAAACAAAAGCAGACATCAATGCCACAAAGGTGAAAAACAAGAGCAGCAAATGAGTGCTGCCTCTCTGCAAACTCCCACGTGCAATCGCAACAGTCAAGTCTTCTCTTCAGCCCCAGGAAACGCCACGTGGCTCCACTGCTTTGAAGGTTCAAGAGGTCTACAAGCAAGAAAATGTCACGGAGACCTAACTCAGTTTTTTAAACTTGGGCTCCGGACAACTCGTTGGGACAACTGTACATTGTAGTTAGAGGATTTCAGAAGCTGTATGACGGATCTCTGCATGAGTTGCTGCCGCTGCCAGACATCACAACAGCAACGTTAACCACACCACAAAAAAAGAAAACCGATCGCCTCCTCCACCCTTTTCAGCTTGTCTCACAGCCCAATTATCTGCAAGCAAAAGCCTGGATGTCCTCCAGCACCCTGCCACAGCTGGAGCGCAGTGTTTCAAAGTAAGACAAAAAGAACTTCAGGGTCTGCTCCAGCACACCAGCCCAGCCCTCCACTTTGGTTTTATGGCTAAGAACCTACGCTTGTACCCAAGAGACTTCTGTCTACGCCTTTCCCTTCCCCAAAGGGCAGTATGTTCTTGCTATTTAAGCCATTCTCTTATCAGTCAGGTTTTTCAGCTATTTACAATGCAAGCTCATTGCAACTGGAAAAACTTGAAGAGAAACATAAAACTGATTGTTCTGTCTTCATCAGCATCGCTTAGTATTTCAGTCCATACTCTCCAGACTTTGTAGGCACATGGGATATCCTCGCTTTCAATCTGCACCAGTATTTCAGCCCAGGTGAAGCACTGTGCCTGGTAGGAACTTGATGACCAAGGCTTTCCCATCAGCTAGACAAGAAGTGCTATTACAGTATCAGACACGCTTTCATCTCCTGGTCTGGGTACCAGCCCTCTGTGCTGTGCTCTTCAAGAGGTTGTCATTGCCCCGTTGTAGCAAACTCCTCAAATACAGCTTGCATGGGCTTGCAAAACTGACTACCAGTGACTTGCATGCAAGCAGAAGGACAAAGCATCTTACGGCGTCAGGAGCTCTGGCCCTGGCAGTAGTGCCGACCACACCTTGCCCCACACTTTTGCTCTGAACATCTCCCCAGCCGAGAGGACAGATTTCAGTTTTCTGCTGAAAATAATCTTTCTTGGCTGAGATACTGTCTCCAAAGGTTGTCACCTCTCATGTTCCAGTTCACTTTCCAGCACTGATATCTCCTCACTTTTGCTTCCACAGACATGCAAACACACAGCCAAAAGGCCACTGCAGTCTCAGGAATCACCAGTTTCCATTTTTCATGAACTAGATGGTGACCTCATATGGTCAGACACATGTTTTAGGCAGAGAAGCAGCATTTCATTACAGCTTAGGCAACACCCTGAGCATTGAGCCACAAAAAATTGAGCAGTTCAGTGTAAGCTACCTATTCTGTACAAGCCTGGAGAAAAACCAGGCCAGATTTGGATTCTATTTTCACCAGTTTGCATCCCAAAATCTTGGGTAAATGGTTGGGATTTTTGCAACATTGAGGTAAATAAATGAGAATGTTGATTGGGAGGGGGAAGACTGTTAAAATGTAATGTCAAGGCCCTAGACTTGAAGGATAATTACAAGGAGCTACTTTACTTTCACTCATCATGGAATTAATGCAAAAATACTCCCCAGAATACCCTATTTTGTTAAGCTGAGTACCACAGAGGTAAGTTGGCAGGAGTGCAATGCCCAAACCATACCTGCTCTAGAAGTCTTCTCTTCAAACCATCCACCACCAACCGCTCTGCTCTTCCACACTCTGCATTTTGAGGTGCCCTATGGCCCCAAACTCAAGAAACATTAGGAGCCATACGCACGACCGTGGCTACCAGCTCTGTAATAACAGTATGGAGAACCTTCATGCCTTATTTATTTATAATGGAAAGCAGTTGTCTAATAAAATAAAATAAATAAAAATGAACAACAGCAACAAAAGCAGCATTGTTGATTTTCTTGGAGCATTCACCACCCTATTAATTCAACATTTGTAGCAAGGAATAGCTGAAGCAATGTTGGTTTAAGTCAGCCAGTGTTTACCCTGCAGTCATCTGGTTGCTGCAGGGGTGTGGGAAGAGGATCGCCTTCACTTTCCATTTTAAACAACCCCATGTGAATCAGCATCACAGTTAAGTGGACAGCAATATATTTTCAAATGCTTTATTCTCTTCTTGAATAAAAGAAACACCAGTATTCCCAAAGACAAGACTTTCTTTACAGCTCTTTTTACTTTAAGAACAGCAGAAGAGTTATTTCTTTGATTTTCATGTACAATTTGGGTCAAGAAAATGCTTCAGGCTCCCTTGCAGAAAGCAGAGAGAATATGCTGAAGTATATTGCTGCATTATTTATATAACATACAATTTATGCACTTGGACTGCTAACATTTGCCACACTATAAAAACCCCTCTCTTTTGTCAGCTCTGAAGTCTCTGTAAAACTGCACCATTTCTAAGCTTGCAATTCAAATGCTATTTTTGTTTTGGTCTTTCTTGAAAACCACGCATCCAAAAATGACTGATGTAAGGAACATGATATTAGTATTTGGCTTAACAAAGGAACAGCTGCCGTATATCAGCAGTTTGTTCAGCAAAGTGCTGAGGGCATTTTTTTTCTGCATCCAAAAATATTAGTGGCCATATATATATGTCCTGATGACTCTGTGAGTCAGAGTCACTTGATTTTTTTCTTAAGTGAGGCTTTCAGCAATCAAAGGAGGAAAATATAACCATCTTCTGGCCTTTTATGACACCTTCTATGTAAACTTTTCAAATTGCTTTGAAAACACCAAGGAAAACTGCACAACTCCATTAAGAGGTAAGAAAAGAGTATTAAGCAACCACACTACTCACCACAGAAACTGGTCTAATAGAGAGCAACAGCTATTTAATAGCACACCCCAATGACTCGAGACAGAAGGAAAAATACTGCATGCAATTAAAGTGGATGATAAAAAGTATGATATAATAGAAAATAATTATTAATTTCAGCATTTGGCAAAACCGATGACCTATTCAGCTCACACCATTAAGATCAATAAGGGTACAGCTTGTCAAGAATTCTGTTTTATGCTGAATTTGAAAGATGACATTTAGACAAGTGCATTGCCATTAGATCTAGTGTGGCTTCTTACCTCACCACCAGTTTGAATAACCCTTCAGAAAAGCACCCATCATTACAAATAGGGATGGACCATTTGAGACACAAATTCAAGGGGTTTACAGAGCTCAAACTCTCACGGGGAAGGAGATTTGCTGATTCAGCAGTCTTCCCTCTCTTAGAGGAGCTGAGACCTTCTGGAAAGCCCCTCAAAGTCCTGATCTGGTCTTACATCAATGGCTTGTGCCTTTGCTCACACGAGCAATTGGCTCCTTGGACACATCAGCTTTTGCATCAGGTTTCAGGGATGACTCCTTACAGCTCTTGCTCACCAGTAACCACCACCACCAAATGGAGTGTTGCTTTCTAAGCCAGCACCAGTACCGTGGCAGCTCATTTTTTCAGCTTAGAAGTCAAAAGCCTGGCTCTGCTTGGGTCACGCCAAACTAAGACCTTGTCATCCCAAGCCCTGCCTGCCAGGAAAGCTGTTTCCAGCCATGCAAGCAGAGATCACGCTGCTGTTTACCAGGGCTCTTTGGACATCTGCATCCACCAACACAGTGTGGGAATGAAGCAGAACCAGAAAAATGTCCTTTTAGATGGGTCTGGCTTCAACTGTGTGACCTTCAAGCTCCTTTCCCAGCCTCTGTGTGCACCACACAATGACACCGTCCTTGGTGTGTGTCACCAGCACAATAACAACGCCGACATGTTTGACAACAGTTGGTAAAATGAGTCATCCTCCTTTGAGTATTTTACCCATCCCTCTGGCTACAAATCACAAACGTTTACCTGTTCCCTGTTAGAAATTAAGGTCACCAGATGGCATGGTTTGTCTCTGACAGTTCTGGTTTTTTCCTTAAAGCATTCTGTTTCCAGCCGAGTTTTGATGGGGGAAACAGAGCAGAAGAACCCCAGGACACTGAGATTCAATTAAAAAAAAAAAGCGTGGAGCCCTGTGGCCCCCTGAGCACTGCTCAGCCGCAGTCAGGGCAGACTGACCACCAACACTGAGGACTTGCTGCTTTCCCAAGGACCGAGTTTCCTGATTCTGCGCTGATTATCTAGATGGGACCCAGCTCGGATCCTTAATCACACACTGTCTTTGTATCAACTTAAAAATACCCATTTTGACTTCACCCAGAGTTTTAAACAAAAGATCATCAGCTCCTGTCAAAATACCAGAGTAAATGACAGCCCCATCCCTGCCTGTGCATTTTCCTACTGCCAGAAATAGCAATCCCCACCCCTCTCGAATGCACAGCCTCCTTGTCAAGCCAAGCTGACAGTTCCCACAAGAGTAAGAGATGAAGGATTTCCACAAGTGCTTCACTCCCCTGCATCCCCCATCCACCTTGGCGTCTTTCTTGCAGACCTGGAGACACGTCTGTGCTGCTCTGTCAGCATTCAAAAAAACCCAACTATATATATACACACGTATATATATAAAAGTTTTTAGCACTCTTGAGCAGATAAAAATCTGAAACCTCCCAGGTGCAAAAACAAGACAGTACATAAAAAATGCTGGATGTATCTTCGCTGTTACACCCATCCGTCACTGCTCAGCTTGCAGAGGTGTGGGGCGCAGGCAGGAGCGTGCTGTCCCCCACTGCTGCCTTCACCACGGGGAGCTGGAAGCGACCTGCCCAAACCAGCCCCTGGTACCTGCCCCTGGGCCTCTCACACCCCCCTGCCCCGCTTCCCTGCCCCACGGCTCACACCAGGCCACCACTCAGGCACCTCCCCAGCAACCTCATCCCCAGCCATCCCACCCCCCCTCACAGCAGGGCCT